AAATTTTATAGTGCTCCTCAGTGTAGAAATCAATTATCATTGAACTGAAGTACTGAAGTGCCAGTTGTTTGAGATTTCTGGTTAGTAGAGTTGCAGCTAGTATATCTTTTGAATTAGTTTTTCACTCATAAGTCATATATTTTCCAAATTATAAAACTGTTTATTCATATAATTTAAATAACTGACTTTTCCAGATACATCTTCAAATGTGCTTTAGAGTGATATTTGATCTTCAAGACCAGTGTTTTTTAAAGTCAAATTCATACACGAGAGGTTGTTGATTCTTCAGATTTGGAATTGCATGAGTTTTTAGTAGCATTTCACTTGGGCCATATTAAAAGTCTTAATTTGGCCCTTCAGATTTTTTATGTACCATAAAGGTCTTAATGTACTTTTTTTAAAAAATAATTTTTTGTAGTTGCGGATGGACAGCATACCTTTATCTTGTTTATTTTTTTATGTGGTGCAAATGATCTAATCCTGTGCTAGGCAAGTGCTCTGTAATTGAGCTGTAGCCTCCCCACCTTTTTAAAATTCATACTTACCTCTCTAGGAGGTGAGAGAGTCCCTTGAGAAGATATGTGCCTCCTACAGAGCAGTACACCTCAGCTTCAGAAGGAGCAAACCTGAGTATTTAAATATTATACAATAGAAATACTACTTAATAATTTTTCTGAGCTTTGAATTTTGCTGGAGATTTAAGCTTCCCTATACAAGAACATTTTATGAATAGAGATTGAGGTAGATGAACATTCTTATAAACATCAAAGAACACAGAGTAAGGAAGATGAAATTAAGTCAACCCCCTGGTGACCACTGGGCGTGTGTAGAGGACGAGCTCATTGATGAATTTTTTGGGCATAAGACCCTCTAGTTGCTCGCTACCTTCTCAGCACGTCTCCGGCCACCACCCATTGCTTTCTCTTCCCTAGGAGGTTTCATATGTGAATAAAAGACCCTGAACAGAGGCCTAGACTTTGCACATTGGAGACCATTTGACAGGCTCCTCCATCCCTCTGTGCCTAGGTTTCCTTTTGTGTGAAATGAGGACTATTAATAATTGACTTACAGATTTTCTATGAATATTACTGTGTTCATCTGTGAAAACACTTGGCACATAATACATACTTAATTGTGAACTATTTTATCATGACTCCCACCCATCTCTGCATCAAAACACTACTCCTGTGCTGAGTAACAGGAATCACTTTTAGAAGGATGCATTCACTAAAGAGAGCTTTCGTGGGCTGGGGACGTAGCTCAGCAGTAGAGTACTTTCAAGTACAAAGCCCTGGGTTCAAATCCCTGGCACCACCTAAAAAAGGTAAAATAAAAAAGGAAAGTTTTGTAAAGTTCATTAAATTATGCAAAGTGCAGTCGTCATCATCCGTTTCTTCATGAAGCAATTATTGAGTACCTGCTTCTTGGCCCAGGACTACTCTGAACATTAGAAATACAGAGAGTAGTTAGACTTCTCATTTCTGTTCTTGGAGGAGTCTAGTCTAGTGGTGGAGACGTAGAGTTTATGGAACATGAAAATGTTTTAACATAACTGAATTATCTGACAATAGGAGAAAATAGTGTGCCACCTATTGTAGTAAATACCATACAGACATTAAAGAGAAAAAGCTAGATTTGTACAAACTGACAAATCCAAAGAAAGAATAAAATACAAATTCTAACACACGTTCTGCAAGAATCAAGGTGAAGAATGATGTATGTAGTAAAATCACATTTATTCTACATGTGTTTATGTCTGTATTGGTATTTGCATAAGAGAAGCTCTAGAAAGCTATGTCAATATGTAGATAGCTCATGGAAACAGAATTATGAAAGAATTGGTTGAATTTTTCTTTTATATCACTAGATACTTCACAGGGAGTACAGTTTATTTTTGTAATTTTATTTTTGTAATATTTTAGTGTACTATTGTATTTCATTATTAAATATAATATATTAATATAATTAAATATATTAAATATAACTAATATGATCTAGTTAATAAATATTAACATGAAACATTGAATATTAGATGCCTTCATTTATCCCTCACCCTTTTCCAGAAAGGCTTATGAAATACAAGTTTGTATGTATAAATAGATACTATTTTTATACTATACATAAATTTTAAAATTTACATTAATGTTATTATAGAATTAAAATACATACCCTAGCACATTAGAAAGCATTTGACTAGAAGTACATTGAGTGAAACCAACCCCTCGGGGAAATCTGTTGATTGAAAGGTTGGCATGTATATTCAAAAATAAAGAAGGGTAAGGCCTAGCTTATTCTGTAGTCCATCCTTCATGGAGTGTTACATGCAAAGGGGTTTAACTGGGAGTGAGGTTCAAGTCCTGTGCTTTGCATTGCTAAGAACCTGTGCCATGAAGCATGACCAAATCCTATTATTTGTTTGCACTCTGACACGCCTTTATTGTTATGTTTCCTGAGTAAATGAGGAAGGGGTCCAGGAGTATAGGAGATCTGAGCAGGTGAATGACATTGACAATAGAGTTGCATTGTTTGAAGCTGCCCACTGAGTCATCTTCCTTTGCTGAAGACACACAGGTCAACATGGCCCCCAAGTTGATGGCTACTAGACTTATATATCCAGCTCAGATCTTTCTTCCACATATCAGACCCATTTGAGCACCGACAGTTATGTGAACTTTTTTATGTGAAAACTCCGCAGATCAGCACACAGGGCCTCTGCAAGACTGAGCCTCGTTCTTTTGGTCTCCGTTCTCCCCATTTCTGCCCTGCCCTTCTCATCTGACACCAGTACTTCTATCTGCTCCCACCTTACTGGTCTGGTTAAATATTACTGTTGTTTCACTTGCTCAAGCCAGAAATGTCCCTCATTGTCCCTCCCCTTTAATTCAGGTCCTATCAAGGAGAAAGAGCTCTGGGATATGTTCGCTGTTTCAACCCTAGTACAGGACCTGGTTATTTCCTTCCCAAGTTACCACAGCAACCCCCTGACTGGTGTCCCTACATTCTAGACTTCATTCTGCAACAATCCAGTCTCCATTTGTGAATGTAGCTGCTAATGAGATTTTTCTCAAATGCATTCATGTTCTGTTTAAACCCCCAGTTGATTGCCATCTTCTGAGAATATAAGTAGACTCTCCCACATCCTACAAAACTGTTCCAGATCAAGCACCTTTCATCTTAGCACCTTCTCAGAGTTTCCAATGGCATTGACTGCCGCACACTTTCCCCACATCCAGGACTCTTTTTTTGCCTCCATACTTCAGTAGAGGTTGTTGCTCATAATTGGTTAGTTCTTTGCCTCTTTCCTAAGAGAGCACCTACTAGCTGGGCACAGTGGCACATGCCTGTAATCCCCAGGACTCAGGAGGCTGAGACAGGAGGATCACATGTTTGAGGCCAGCCTCAGAAACTTAGTGAAACTTTGTTTCAGAATTAAAAAAATAAAAAGGATTGGGGATATAGCTCAGTAGTAAAGCACCCCAAGGTTCAATCCCTAGTTTAAGAAAACAAAACAAAACAAAAACCAGACTGTACCTTGTCCTTGTGATAATTCTCCCTTTAGTTATCCTCTCTCTGTTTGAACTCTGTGTTTCCTCCATTCCTTTCTCATTGTTGTATCCTGTTGCCCCATAAGAACATCTGGCCCATGACACACTCTCAAGACTTCTTGAGTAAATACAAAGCTAATACTGGAAAAATACTATCAAATTTTTATTTTTCCACAACCACCCTCATATTCCCACTTGCTATGATTTGAAATTTTCATTTTATATATAGGCACAATTCATCTTATACTGTGTGCATAAATACATACACAACTTGCTGATGGTATCAAGTTAGGTTCCTTAGTCTTGTCAACATGTATTGAGTAGAAAAGAAATTTTGCTAGAGTTGCAAACTCTGTAATCAGTTCACTCTGTTAGGCTGTTTTTACTGCTCAGATTATAGCCTGTGTATTTCTTTTAAAATTTTAAAGCAAAAACCAGTTTATTTACCCATAACAAGAAACCATTCAAGTACAGAAGGGATCTTGGTTCTGATTTGAATGATGAAATTCACTCAAAACCACAAACTAACTTTATTTAAAAACAGTGGTTACAAAGTAGATAAACATGTTTAAAAACAGAACCACATTTTGAAGTATCTCTAAGCATGGCCATTAAAAAAAAAAAAAAAAAAAAAACACTGCTAGATGATTTATATAAACCCTTGAGTTAAGGCTTTAACAGCTACGCATATTAAAAAGCTGCCCTAACATCTTGGCCATGTATTCGACAGGCAGCTCCTGATTTAGATGTGTCATTCATCATGGCCCCCCAGCCCATCCGCCTGTCCAAGCTCAGGCAGGTAGCAGCCTTTTGTGTTTGGGGTTTACAGCCTTCAATTGCAGGATGACCTTTCTGCTGAATAGACCTGCTTTAGTTGAGCCGGACTCTTGTGTTTGTTCTCTTCCCTGGCGTTACATTGAGATGACCGTCAGTTCCCTTCTGTCTGAATCATCACAAGGAGCTTCATGTTTTGTTCTTCCTTACACTTTGGTGCTATGCATATTGGCATCCTGCTCCCCACTACCAAAGGAATAAGTGATTTATGTCATCTACTTGGATTTCCAGAAAACAAACTTTAGAATAGAGAGAGATCTGAACACTGGCTGAGGACCCGGGACTCTCCCAGTTTCCATCTCTCACCAGCTTTTACTTTCTTCCTCTTATGTTTTCTCCCCTTCTCACTAATGGTCTCGGTGGGTCTGTAAAATCGGCCCACACATCTCACTGGCTGCTCTCCCCTCGTGTCATTGCTGGATGAGTCATCTTTTTTTCCCCCCTTTGGGGCCAATCGATGGTGAAATAAAGTGACAGTTATTCAGAGAGGTGGATTGCAATCTCTTGATGAGTGGGACACAGTCTCATTAGGAACAGAGACTTCTTAATGATTTTCAAGGGTTGTGGTTAAGGAAGACAGCAGGATGTTGGGGAAGGGATAGTTTAAATATCACCTAGTTGCTGCTCGCTTGGGAAGCATGTGTACTAAAATTGGAATGATGCAGAGAAAATTAGCATGGCCCCTGAGCAAGTATAACATGCAAATTCATGAAGCATTCTGTATTTTTATCACTGATTTTTTACTTATAAAGTTAAAAAAAAATCTAATTGGAAGTTCTGGAATCTTTCCTTTCCCCTCCCCCTCTAAACATGCCTCTAAAAATCACAATTGCTCCAAAACTTTCTCGAAGTTAGATAAGATAAGGTTATTTGCTGATACATGGGTGAAATAAATTTTTTTTCATTGAAAATGTGGAGTCCATTGCAGGTTTATAGAAATGTTTCTCAGTGTATTCTTTACATCACTGGCATTAAAATTCTTATGAATATTTTTTTAAAATAATGCAGACCGCTGAGAACCATCCCAGACCCATAGAATCTGAATCTCAGGGATGCTTTTTTCATTTCATTTTTAATAATCTGTTTGATTTTCATGCTTACTCTTGTTTAAGTTTCCCTGACCACTAGAGAGCTGAGTGAACCAAAGGAAAAGTGGAATTTGGGATCAGAGCAGCTCTGGGAATCTGGGTGTCTCCGTGGCTTAGCTCTTTGGAGTTCTTCCTCTGAGCAACTTAGTCTATCGCAGTTCAACTTGTGTCAGGTTTACTCAAGGTTCATATTCCTGGGAGAGAGGATCAGAGTACCCCAGCTTCTCATCAACCCTGTGTACACTAGAGGAGAATTTCCCAATGTAAAATCAAGTTCTTTCCAGGAAGAAAGGGAAATGAATCCTAGGCAGACACACACTGTTGGTATTCTTCGTATATATACATAGAACATGATGGGATTTTAAAAAATGAACCATGCACTCTCGTCATGAAAGGTTAGAAAGTCAAGCATTGACATACTTAAGTTGAGCGATCCTGAGGTTTTCCAGTTATCTAAGTGGGGATTGTGGAAGAGGTAGATGATAGTGTGGAGTTTGTAAGGAAAAATCCAGAAATGCCTTTCTAATGGGATCAGTAGCAAGTAAGAACTTGAAGTTTTAGATATTTAAACCAACTTAACTCATTAAATGACATGATGAATTTTATTCAGATACATGGTCCATAGGTGGTTGTAATTTATTTAATTATGGCATTAAAAGTTTACAGAATTGCCTAAGCAACGCTTTGAAGAGACTTGTGATAAAAGAGCCCAAATATCACATACTCCTTAATTCCTTTCAAGGGACAAATGTGGTTGCTAGATGCAGTTCCTACCATTTGTGTCTCCTGGTGGGTACCAGGGTACTGAGCAGCTCTTGGGAATGTCTAGAGTGAAAGATACAAGTGGGATTTCATATTTTCAGAAAATCCGTCTTCTTGGGGTTCTTCCATCCTCCAACTGTAAAGTCCTTGTAGATGCCATGGGAAGAAACCCGCTGTCCTGTGTGCAGTGGTGTGCCATGGGCTATGCTCCAATGCCTACTGGCAACTTTCCTTAGACCAAGGTTAATATGACTCAAATAAATTAACCTGCCTCTTTTGTTCTGATGAAAGTCAATTTCCGTCTTAGAAAAAAAGAGACAGAAAGCACCCAGTATGAAAAGAAATATGATTTTTACAAATTGTTTCAAAATATGACTCTTAGCACCCGCCACCCCTTTCTTTGTAACTGAAAGAGCACTGAAAAAAAAAAAAAAAAAAAAAAGGTTACTCAGTGATTTAATCACTGGTCCAAAATTTCCTCATTCCACTTTGTTAGGTCTGCACCTCAGATCTGATAAGGCAGCAATACTGATAGCCCCCAGGAGTGATAATATAAATGTTAAGGCTCTAAGCAAATTTTGCCTATGAATTTTTGTCTGATTGAAAATGAGTTAAGTGTCACAAATATTTTAATAAAAGAAATCCATGTTTCCCCCCGCCCATACAGTAAGATCTCCCCTTTATTTAAAGTCTTATGATTTTAAAAGTTTACTCTTCTAAAGAACTCTTGGTCAATCCCCACAAAGCAACCAATTACATAGAATTTTTATTCCTGAACTATAATTATAATGTGCTCATTACCATTTAAAGATAATAGCATTCTTATTTCTGTAGTCCAAACAGCACTGAAAATTTTGAAATGAATCTCACTTCAAAGGGCAAAGTCATCACTGCTAGAGGGAACTTACTGATTGTTCATCTTTTTCCTGTATGATTTATTGCACCGTTTTTTTCTGTCAAACAGAACTCTTGAGCCATGATTGGCAGTCCAATCAGATCAAAGAATACACTTTTAAAAGACACTGATTTGGGTTTATTCTCCTCACTGCTCCACGAAAAACTGAGATGACAAGATGACTTTTTTCTCAGTTGATTGGATGCCCCTTGTTTATTCTACTTTCTTAAGCCCTTGATGAGACATGCCCTTCTTGGAGTATTTTATACACTAAGTCAGCCAAGACTTCACCCTGACACGTCTGCTGCGTTAATACCTGGAGAAAACCACAGTACCTCAGAGTTCTACAGTTTCACCCATGCTTAGCCTTCAGGCTACAGGCATTGGCTAACTGCCAGACCTCTGATGGGTCAGATATAAGTACAGACTTGTAGCTTTCCAAATTCATTTCCCAACATTATCCTGGGAATGCCAGTACTTCTTCATGAAGGAACAAAGTTACCATTGTCAGAGAGGAATAGATACAAGAGAATTCGGACCAACCAATTCTTCAACAGAGGCTTCAGAAAGAATTATTCTCGTGTGAAATAAATTGGCACATAAAGAAAATAAACTGTATTCTTCCATGCAGCTCATCAGGGTTTTAAGTTTTTCTTCATTTTAAATAATGGCTGTGCCCTTTGGGAAACATAGACTAACCCCATAAATGTTTTATTAATGGTTTTTCTTTCTTAAAAAAAAATTTTGTTTTAATTAGTTATACATGACAGTAGAATGCACTATATACTTTGATATATCATACATAGATGGGATATAATTTCTCATTTTTCTGAGTGTGTATATATATATATATATATATATATATATATATATATATATATTGCAGAACCATATTGGTCACATATATAAAGTAATAATGTCTGTTTCATTCTACTGTCTTTCTCATCTCCACATTATTAATGGTTTTTCAAATGATCATGTAGACCAATGAAACCCAAGCTTTTAAATTTCAGAGTAGAGCTTTATCATCCATTTTGATTAGTAATAGGAACCAATTTCTCTAGTTTCAAAACATGTGACTTTATTGCAACCAGAATGGTGAGACTTCGTTCAGATTATTCGAGGGACTTGTGATTCCACTTTGCTTTGTTCATGGCCACTTTTTTCATCCATTTCAATAAGTATCAAAATAAATTTTATAGTGATCTCAACTAATGGCCAGTCAATAAACACAAAATGTCTGTGTACCATGCCTTGTTTTTGGCTTCACATAGCAAAAGATTAGAACCCTTGCAAACCTGAGACAAAAAAAAAAAAAAAAAAAATGATTTCAGGCAATTTCATAATTTAGAGTGAAACTCATGTAAGCAATATAAAGACGTGAATGATTGTCAATCATATACTTAGCAGTCTACAGCCCTCTATGTCAATCTAATGCAAAATTACTGTCAGAGGGCAACTCTGTAGGAACTACATGGGCAGCACTGCCACCCCACCCCCTCATAGGCACTCAATGTGAATTTGCACTTAGGAACTGGGGTGGGGAATTCACAGAATCAGCAGGGGGAGCTCCTGCTGAAAGATCAACACATGTGAGGGTTTGTCATGGGGAGTCATTGTAAGCCCAAATTTTGAGCAAAAATATGTGATAAACTATGTGATAAAGACTGTGTACACAGGAAAAAAGGAGTCATCAGAGTGGCTCAGGGTGCAGGAAGTAGAGCTTGCAGGAGCTGCAGCCTACCAAGATAACTCTTTATCACATAGCAAGCTGGCAGAGCATAAGCGTGAGGATGAGAATCTGTCCCTGGCCTTTCCAAAGACTGGTTGTCCAGCTGTCTGATTTTGCTCAAGAGTAGTCTTTAAATGAAGCCCTCTCACTTGAGGGGCCTTCAGTTATCTCTATTCTTTTCAACCGAATTCTAATAAAATGTCCCCAATTCTAATGAAACAAGGAAAAAAGATGATCAACTGAGGAGGTAAGAGGGAATGCCAAATGCTTGCATAAATTTAAATATGAGTTGGTAAATCAATATGTTTGAGATGAAATACATATGCAGATGTTCATAAAACAAGAATAATTAAAGCATAATATCTGTTAAATTATAAAGCAAGACAGACTTGATTTTTAGCTTAATGATGTTTGTTTATTCATTTAATCAATATTTAGCACATATGTGACACACTGCTGGTCTGTAAGATACAAAGATGAATCAAATAATCCCTTCCCTCAAATTAATAGTGTAGTAGCTAGAAACAGTATATTTCACTATTTCCTTAAAAAAAATATTATTGGTTTTGATTCTTGAGTCAAACAGCTTCACTTAGGCATAGATGATGGGAATTGGGGAACCAGTTTCTTCTAACCAGCTACAACATAATGTGGTTATTTATACGTAAAATTTGGGCTTAAATCTTGGATTGAAGTGAGTAATTTGGGGACTACCTGGAAATGGATATTTTCAGGCTAACATACAAAGATGTTTGTATCAATAAGCCTACTTAGAAGGGAAAGATTATTATTTGGGGCGGGGAGGGTAACCAGGGATTGAACTCAGGAGCACTTGACCATTGAGCCACAACCCCAGCCCTTTTTTGTATTTTATTTAGAGACAGGGTCTCACTCAGTTGCTTAGTGCCTCTTTTGCTGAGGCTGGCTTTGAACTTTCTATCCTTCTGCCTCAGCCTCCCAAACCACTGGGATTACAGGCATGCGCCACCATGCCCAGCTAAGATTATTCTTAATATTGCTGTTAAAATATAGATTAATTTAAAGACTAACCATATAATTGCTGTACATGTATTATGACCAAAAAGAGAATCTGGTTTAAGACTTGGTGTGAACAATAAGGAGTTATCCTCAAAGATCATAAATCTACATTGATGTGAAGAGAGATCTCAAGGAAGATTGTTTGGGCATCATAGGCCATTGGATTTGGATGGAGAAAGATGGGCAAAGTCAATTTCTTAGGTATCCCCAAGG